TTAATGTACCTACACCACCTATGCTGATATTATATTATGTTATGTTCAATCTACTTGAAACCAATGAAACCTTCTTGCGGCCCCAAAAATTGTTTATAGAAAAAGATTAAAATAATATATTATATTTTGTATACAATTTTAAAAGGAATGCCTACCCCGGAGTACATTCCTCCCTTTGTGCAGAATCCATAAAATAGACAGCTTTAGGCTTTAGCAATCAGCTAAAGGTAGTATAAAAAATGTTGAATTCTGAATGGAACCGGAATGTACCATTACATCGTTTATACCTATGTAAGTCCTTATTTTTATGGGTTAGCCTATTGTGTGTGTTTTTTTTTTTTATATAGAACCACAATTTAATAGATAAAATCCAATTGAAAAGTGTTATTATTATTTATATATACCTATAGGCCATAATAGGTATATAGCTATTTAGTATTTAACTATTGTAAAGTTGACTGTGTAGTAGTTGTTTGAGTGCTGAAATAATGACAACGTGTTCGATTGATTTGATTTCCTGCAGTTAATCAAAATACAAAATACATGTTGTACTATATATATAAATGTATAATGAATGCTCTATGTACCCAAATTTATAGGTATTAGCAACATAATATTATAAATAATAATACCTATAACCGTATCTGAATACTTTTACGAGTTATATTTAAATAATAAATATAATATATTAATATGACATATCTCACATTGTATAAAATAAATAATATTGATATAAAATTATAACATTTCTTATTATACGTCTACTTTAAATAATGTTTAAACGACGCTTTCTCCCAAGTGGGTTCCGTGGTGTAGTGGTTATCACATCTGCTTTACACGCAGAAGGTCGCCAGTTCGATCCTGGCCGGAATCACAAATTTTTTGCTGTTTTATTTTCATATTTTACGCAATTTAATTTATAATTTAGATATCTAACTAACTAATTTTATTCTAATGTTTTTTTTTAAATCACTAATAATTATTAGTTTTTTAGTTAAAACTTCTTGGAACAGTCACGGATACTTAAAAATATTTCAGTCATTCAATAATAGTATTTATATTGTAGATTTAAAACTACATCGTTTTAAACACCGCATACTCAAAATTAAAATGATAAAATGTGTAGTGAAATAATTCAAAATATCGATAGTAATTATTTTCTGCACCTAAAAAATTATACGTTATTCAAATGTAAATTGTATTATTATTTATTATAACATAAATCCATTACTTTTAAATATTTCGTTCTTAAAAAAAATAACATATTTGTAATTTTTTTAAATTCTTCAGTTTTTTTTTTATGTAATTATTATACAATCAGTTGGCTAATACACAAGTGACTTGACATTTATAAACATAATGTATGCATAAATAACCGCCGATAATCGGTTTTTTCAACGACTCGATAAAAATCGATTTTGGATGTAACACACTGTACGACGATTGCCAACGACACCGCTGCTGCACTTCCGATTATCCTGCAGGAATACAGCTGTGCGAGGGGCCACCCTAAGGAGTTTGGTTTTTTTATTCTGCACGTCATCAAAATAAAGCGCGCTTATATTATGGCCACATATACGACAATTCAGAATACGAAAGTTCAATATTTATAATCGGACTATTCAAAAACGAACTCGTTCTTATGAGAGCTCGTAAGATAAAACCGAACGACGGCGCGAAGTGCAGATGCGAACTGGCGGGACGAGGAAAAAGAAAATCTCATCGCGTCTCTAAAATATAAACAACTCGTGATGTCATGATATTATACCACATGGAGTATAATAATATTTTAATAACGGCCATCAGGCATAAAGAGAATATTGTGGGTCGTGTACGACGCATCGTGCAGACGAGATTTTGTCCCACAGCTGGGTTCGATTTAAAAAATAATAATAATAATCATCGTGCCGAAAGGTTTAGGGTTAGTTTATTTAGAAGCCAGAATGGCGGATGGTATCTTCCGTTTCCGTGTCTAAATAAACAATACCTACGATGTTTGCCTTCATTATTTGGAAGTTTTAATTATTTGAAAATATTTTTATATAATTTTATGTCATTAGATTTATTATTGTCATCTTTTTTAGGTTTTTATTTTTTGAATATTTTAATGAATTGTTTCATTTGTTATCATTTTGTTTTCATATTCCTAAGCAGAATATTATTCGGAACATTTCAATGTATAAAAATCAAATTTCAGAGAAGTAATTCATTAGTTAGTTAATTTAGTTATAACTTTATAAGTATTTAAGGTTTAGATTAGTGGGTAGTGGACACAATTTGGGGGTGTACCCTTGTGGAATGGCTACTCCGCTCGTCTATACTTTAAATGATTATAAATTACTATAACTATAGGTAACAAACTATTTTTCCGAAATGTGATCTTTGTATATCAAAATACTCTAGATAAATTTTGTTTCGGAATATGAAATAAAAGATGTAGAGTTATTCAAAAAGTTAAAACATAAAAAAACGAGCGACAAAAATAATTAAAAGATTTAATTTTTTTCAGAATTTTTTTTAATCAAATTGTAAAAAAATAATATATTTTTTAAAAAGTTGAATCTTTTCGGAATAATGAATGTTGACACTTAAATTGATCATTTTGTATGTCAGTGACCCGAATAGGACAAATTCTCAGACCGAGCACTTCAGTAATTCAGTTCCCTTCTGTTATTTAAAAAAAATGAGATATCATAATTATGTAAAAGAAAGTCGGGAATGTACTTCAAGTACTAGTATAGTATTATATGATATAAGATTAATTCTCATAAGTTATTCTTGCTATAGGTACATAGAATTAAAACAAAAAGATTAGTGTTAAGCCACAATATAACTTTAAAGTTCAAATGTTGTCGGAATTCAATATTCTGCAAACGTAAAATAATGAGTTTTGTTATGTCGCAATACCCGTAGGTAATTCAAAATAAATTAACCGTATAACGTAGAAACTTGAAACATTCTACTGTCACTTAAGCATCATTCATTAAATACAAAAAAATACAAAAATATTTAGACTAATCTCAAGCAATATATTTTATGACGTTTGAAATATTCTATTTTATTTTAGTTTTATTTCCTTAAACGAGTTTAATTTATCTTTTGATAAAAAATTTGAAAATGTTAAACAAATTCCCTTCATAAGATCCGAGACCACTACAATAATAATATAACAAGTGCCTATTATATACATATAACAATATTGAATATAGTATAAAGCGTGGTTATATGAATATATAACGGTGGTGGTTCTAATACATTAATTATTTTATGGATGTATTATTATTTAAATATTTAATATGTATACAACATATACATAAGTTTTCTTTTGTGGCATATCTACCTGTATAATTTGGTTAAGTTGCGTATAAAAAAAAAAAAATACTTTTTATGTGTAAAACATATTTTAAAACTCGAAGCTAAGATTTTTTACCAATTTTCTGGTTGGTTAAGTATACTTATTATTCGTGTGGGTGTATAATGAAAATTTTTCCCATAACACCACCGTAATCTCCAATATTTATAAAAAATCTGGTAGCTAGGAAAAAGTAAAGATAACTGCTTAAAAGTTAAAATATACGCATTATAATAAATAATGTATAATTTGATTTATTTTCTATGTGCCTTACCATTGTTATAGTGGTAATGAAAAAACAAATAGTTCAATTTTCATTGCTCAGTCCTACAATGTTATTCATAATATACTATTTTTAAGTTATACGGTCTACAACGATTGTTAAAAACTTAAAATACTTAACGTCATAGAGATATTATATTAATTATTTTTTTATAGGGCTAAATTTGAAACGTTATTTCACATTCTGGTGTAATAAATCCTAATGTATACAACGGCCCTGCATAAACGACTGGACGTAAAACCGATTTAATTTTCTGTCCGAAAATAAATAATAATATAACTACGGTAACACCGAGCAATGTATAATAGCGTAACATAACATATTATAGCTCATAAGGGCACATATTAAGACGAATAATAGGCATCATTACCGCGGCTAATGTCAGAGCATACCTACACGGCTATACCGTATATTGACAGACAACATCAAGAACGGAACAAATAAGTCTTTGGAAATTTGTCAACAAATACCGCCTATCATAAATATTATTATAATGCCTGCTACATATTATTATAATGCGACATTGACAAATCGTAGGTTAGGTACAAGGTAAATGAATAGATACGAATTTGTTGGAATTTCTTTATTATTTTTTCATATAAACTCAAATATCTACGCTCAATCACTGCTTCGATTTCTTAACAAAAAATGTTTTCTGTCTTCCAAACTAGCAAACTATCAAACGGTTTTTATGTTTATTTGTTTTTTGTACCGTGAACCGATATCAGCGTTACCAGGAAAATATAATTTATTATAATATATAATTCAATTTTTCTGAGACACTATATTCTACATTTTTCTACGACAATCGCACTGATTATACTATCTGCAGAGTTTGTCTTTAAATTAAAAAAAAAGTATATAGCTACACATCGGTATGTATACCTGTACATAGTTTCCATATAGTTTAGGTCAAAACGTTTTCAGAGGTATTTCCTGGTTTACGATATACGCACCACACTGTATATAATATATATATAAATATAATACTCACGAATTCCGAAATACCGGTCAGGTTAATAAATAACAGTATTGTGAAAACTTTCGGTGATTAACTGGTACCTATACATATATATCCACATATTATAGTGGTGTTCGGTGCTATATGGCTGCACGACGAGGAGCACGGTCCCTCGCTATTCGCCTAAGCACCGAAACTTCAACGGTACTCGAAATGTCCGGAGACAAATGTATAGTTTTGTGTCGGACGAAACGGACGAGACGCATATAAGTAATGGGACAGGGTGTACACACACACATAATAAGAGTAATTGCTTTAGGCGTAGGTGTTAAGCTGCTCGTGTGTATATGAGCGAGTGAGGACTATATAATATATAATATAGAGGAGTATTATGAACGACGTACCTTTCCCACCACAGCGCCAAAAACGATATCTCGGACCAAACGAATGTCATGTTTTTTAATACTGTCATTTTTTCCACCATGTAGTTCAGCACTTTGCTTGTCTGCAAGTGATAGTAGCCCTCGAATGTTCTCAGCCATCCCGGGTCGTTGTGCGAATGGGGCACCACGATAATCTGGAAGAAAAATAAAAACGGAAACGAAATTATAATACGTAATTTTATTATTATATTATTCACTCTATACAGCAACAACAACAATAATAATAAAAAATTGTAATAACATAATGTTTAATAAAAAAACGGTTGAAAAATACGATGCGCCCCGCGAGAGAGATAGTTGTGGGTGTGTGTGTGTGCGAGAAAAAGAAACCGATGTATAACATTTGCATAGAAAATAATATTGTTATTATTTTCTTCGGGCTCTTTGTGTGTCAAAAACTCAGACTCCTTAAATCTTTGGAAAAGCTCTTATCATCTGAGAACACACAAATCGCTTTGAGCGCAAGTTACATTTTTTCCTTGCATTCACCGTGCCGCCGGTCTAAGGTCTAACTATATATTATATATATGTATACAAATACACTTAAAAAATCTTAAGTTCAACTTTTATCTAGTAAACCTTTATAAATTAGTTTTAACAATAACACTTTGAATGTCAGCGAATAAAACGACAACATCGGCGGGGTCCGTAGTGTTAAAAATGATTACAAACAATTATATTAGAATAGATAAGACATAGGTAAAGTACATAGATAGGTACAATACTTATACTGTTTCAGGCAATTCAGAGGCGTTTTACTGAGTACCTATATGTAATATTATATTGTACGTGTGTCTCAATAACGATCTCAAGACGACTTATTGTAAAAATCATTAATTATTATTACATAGATACCTACTATATTAAAGAAAGGAGATAGATAAATCTCTATGACAAGTTATGAGAGTATATTGAATAGTTTAATACCTATAGTTATGACTTCATGAGTGTATATCAGATACCTCTAAATAGTTAGAGATTTTTTACAGAAAAAAGAGGTAAAATGCAACAAAATTCTTAAACATTCACGTCTATATGTATACAAGACTAATTAGTAATATTGTATATTAGTATGTACAGTATGTATGTACAGTTTGTTTGCGAGTGTTTTATAAAATTATAATATAAACAGTTGGCTGAGATTTTTGGAGACTCATCGCTAATAGCGCACATACCATACCCGTTGTTTGGACGTTAAATAAATATTTTAATAAACAGTCACAATAATATAATAATCGAGTCTCGAAAACGAAATTAAAAGTCTCGAGCATATAGGCCGGAGAGTATGAAAAAATTGCTAACAATATAAAAATAACGTACATTTTTTAACATGACAATAACTCGTTTTGCGTGTCCACATAAACCGCTGCAAGTATACTCATTTAGGTAGACATTAATATAGCTATAAGGTATACTGTCGTGCGTACATAATATAATAATATAAAACAAGAGCAATTAGATTTCCATATTATAATCAAATGATTGCTGCACAGTCCGCCGAGCAGCCACTCCGCGCGGGCATGCACGTAATAATAATAATAATAATAATAATAATATCGAGGGATGTTATTATTCAATTAACTGAAACCATCATGGCGAGCGAATCGTCGTAAGGATTATAGGGCCGAGCGATAAACGAGTCGCAGGCGGCTCGGCGGCGCGTTATATTAATCAATGCAAACAAGTGGATTCAGATCGCAAATAATCAGTATACGCATTTAAACATATAATGCAATTTATTATTTATTCAATTGCCCGCCAGCCACTATATACACAGCTCGGTTGTACAGCGACGAGAAATTTTAATGCCCTGCCAATATTATATACAGATAGATATGCCTATCTTCTCTCACCACCTATAATACCGTTCTCTCGGATATTGTAAAACGAACGGATATTTCACGCAGGACGTGAGTGTTTGTATTTTTTTTTTTTTTCAATTACATTTAGATTCGTGTGAATCTCGCAACCAGTATTTATTTACAGCGATTATGCAGTATTACTGGCTATTATATTTTAGAACGCTGTTATCAAAAACGATATTATTATTATTGTTATCTATTATTGTTAATAGTGTGCCTAGTACTGCCTATACACATAGACCATATTATACTATTAAAATTAGTGTTAAGACTATTACTTTGTTAACTATTTGCTTTCTCTCTCTCTCTCTCTCTGACCTTCTCGAGACATTTCAAATTTAGGTTTAGCAGAACCAACGCTCTTATTATTAGTAATTAATATTAAATATTAAAGAGAGTATTTTCCTATTATCGAACTGTAAGACGTAAAAAACATTACATGTATACACAGGAACACTGTTATTGGCTATTTTATGATATTTTAATTTTCACCCAAGTATATACATTTTCACAGTTTTCTTCTTTTTTTTTGTTGAAATAAAAAAAAAAAAAGGTTGTGAGTCGATATCGCTCTGCTGTACAGTAGGTTACAATAAGTGGGTTACTGTAATGGATGGTGTTAAATTTGAATTCAAAGATATAAAATCATTGTATGCGAAAAACGATTCTGAGAGAAGACGGCCTGACAGTCTATACTGCTTAGTAATTTAGTATATTTGATGATGTTATTGTGATTAAGTTATTTATTTTACTAGTACCTAAGCATTAGTATAACGCTGTAGATTAAATTCATTTTTGTCAAGAAAAAAATACATTTGAAAATTGAATACTTTTACTGTCCCAAAAAGTGATGACAGACACAAAGAAAAATTTAAAAAAATAAAATAAAAAAACACACATCATTGTAAAATCAATACATTCACAGCTCTGCTCCGAATCTAAAACGTTATATACGAATTAAAAATCTATAGAAACGTTAATATTAAATATCATTATTATATGATATATTGCTCGCTGTATAACATATGCACATATACAATTGCCTATATATACTGAGATATATACTACGAGGTTCTGGGGCAATGGGGCCATGGGGGGGGGGGGAATTAAATAGGTACCTCACATTAGATTTTAAAATCATAAAAGAACCAACAGGAAAGCAAAACAAATATAAATTATGCTAAGAAAAATTTCCTGTTGGGGGGGGGGAAATGCCCCTGTTGACCTACCCTCCCCCTCCCCAAAAAGATACCTCTCTATTGAATGCTAAATATATTTGTTTATTTTCACAATTCTTAAACTCTAAGCGGCAATCAATATATTTATATTGATTTTACGATGATATGTGCGTGCTATATTATTATTTTTATTTTTATGTCCAAAGCATAGACTTAATTAATTAGTAATAGGTCTGAGACACTTTTTTTATAAAAAGAAAAAAGCTCCGATTTCGACTTGGAAGGAAGTTTACGTTAGAAAATTGGACATATATGTTTAGGTAAAGAAATACATCCATCTTTAGAATTTCCTAGTAATTTGATTACCAAATTACCAAATGAACTCAAATTAAAATGTTTTTCGTATTCATGGTTGGAATATAAGGGAGTTTACTACAAAAAAAAAGTTCTATTGGTTTTAGAATCTAATTTAGATAATTGCATATTTGGTGAAGTAATTTTTATACTTGTTGGTAAATCTAAAATTCCTTTTTTTTTATTTAAACCTGTGTGCACAGTTGGTTTTGACTCTCATTTTCATTCATTTGAAATTAAAATTGATAATTCTGATATAATTAATTATACAGAATTAATTGGCTGTTATATTAGTGAATTATCTGATACTACACCAACAGTAGCTCGTACGATTGGCAATTTTAAGACATATGCTACATTAAGATATGCAACTTAAAAAAGTTTTTTAATGAAATTAATATTAAATATATATGTATTTGTTTAGATGTTATTACTAATTGTAAGTCTTTATTTAATGGATGTACCTAATTACTAATTATATGTTTAATATGTATACTAATTGTATAAATGTATGATTTTTTTTATTATAATGTCTAAAAATAAGCCAACATTTGTTACCATAAAAATACAATAAATAATGAATTATTATAATAATAATAAAAGTATTTATTAATTATCATTTGCACCTATCTATAATTAAGTCTATATTCATAAATCATAGTCATATTAAATCAATGACTGTAATATTTTGATGTTTACAGGTTTTATACTGAGGTTCTGATTTTGATTTTTTTTCAAACAAAAAGTATTATTAAGTGAAGATAAATGCAACGAGTAGTTAATTTAACAATCCAATAATCTATATTGATATCTCATCAATGTTGTTTTGAATACAATATTATATTTTTACTTTCAATAGAATAAAGTTAATTTAATTTAGTTCGGTGTTATTTTAACACCAACTAATATTAAACTGAGATATTACCAACCATTTTAATTTCAATTATAAATACATGTTAAAACAACCACAAATGAGCCTTAGCTCAAAAACGACGTTCAAATGTGTATAACATTGACACTTTTTGTTGTTAAAATAACTACAGATTTCCATGCGTGTAGTTTGTATTCAGGTCAATACTCAAAAATATCAATTTTTCCATACTTTTAAAAATAATGATGGTGATGTTGATGGGGATGGGGATGGGGGGAATAGTTCTACATATTTGGTAAACATTTTATTGTTAATATTATAGTTGCTTGTTAAATATGGTTACTAAAAAGTTAGACTACCTTTGCTCAGAATGGATCTTTGCATACAATGATATTAATGTAGCTGGTAATATAAAAAAAAAATTAGGTTATATTATTTAATTCACATTTAACACGATACAATCATATGGGTATAGACGAGGTACGCTCGACAATTACTTAATTATTTTTTTATAAAAATACAAGTTCTTCGTTTTAAAGAAAATACAAATATGTGTGTTATAATAGTTCTACAGTGTTTAAAAAATATAAATCTTGAGGTGCAGGTACTAGTCTACTAAAATAATAGTTAACTATATATAAAATATTACCGGTTGGTATACCTATTACTATAGTAATTTGAAATAATATTATACATATATACTGTATGAATCGCACTATTATAAAAACTAATAAGACAGTTTAAAATTTGAAAATAATTTTTTCTGTAAGTTTTTAATAAATAAAATAAATTGTTGTAAAATAAAATTGTTTTATTGATGAAAAAAACTGCAAAAATTTTTCGGAAACCACTTCGCTGTGGACAGGGTT